TGCCTTGAATGAAAGATATTTTCTTAACAAAGTGCTGGTTTAAAAAATTCTTAGATTTTTTTGTTCTGTTTTTGAATCTTGCGTAAGCTAAAACAAGGACAGCAAACTCTTACCTTTCCTTGTTTTTAGGCTGCTTAGATAGTTCCCCATTTCTGCTTTTAAAACTTTTTTTACGAAGTGAGATCGAGAAAAGGAAAATCTTATATTTACAAAGTTGACTTTCATGCTCAAACATAGTGAAAATAGGGAAAGTATTAGAAATAGTCATGTGTGGTATTTGAACATATTCTCATCCACATATGAATAATTAATTATGAGTATATAAGTTGTGTTGGAAGCCTTACTGTTTAATTTGCATGTCTCACCACACATATATAGGTTTTTCCCTTTATTTATTCTTGTTTGCTTGTTTGTTTGTTTGTTTGCTTGTTTGTTTTGAGACGGAGTTTCGCTCTCGTTACCCAGGCTGGAGTGCAATGGCGTGATCTCGGCTCACCGCAACCTCCGCCTCTTGGGTTCAGGCAATTCTCCCGCCTCAGCCTCCTCAGTAACTGGGATTACAGGCACGCGCCACCATGCCCAGCTAATTTTTCTATTTTTAGTAGAGACGGGGTTTCACCATGTTGACCAGGATGGTCTCGATCTCTTGACCTCGTGATCCACCCGCCTCGGCCTCCCAAAGTGCTGGGATTACAGGCGTGAGCTACCGCGCCCGGCTAGGTTTTTCCCTTTAAAACGTTTGTTTGTCTGCATCTAGATATAAGCTTAGTTTGGGAAGGCTAAGATTTGTGTATCAGAAATAGGCTTTGACAGATCTAAAATTAATGTTATCACAGTTCATTGTTTCAGTAGCATTTATAGATTGTTACTGTACCACTTCCTGACTTAAGTCAGAGATGACCAGCATTCTGAGTTAGGACATAATCAGTCAGGGTCCTGAGCCACTGGTGAATGGATTGAGAGAGGTAGTGTGTTTGCACTTGTATCAGGAGCAAACTGACATGACTCTGAGCTCAGCTGCATTTCTCCTTCTCAGAAAAGCTCAGCTGCAGCTAGGTGTAGGGGCTCAGGCCTGTAATCCCAGGAGTTTGGGAGGCCGAGTTGGGAGAATTGCTGGAGCCCAGGCATTTGAGACCAACCCGGGCAACATAATGAGATTCCATCTCTTTATTAAAACATACTAACAAACTGAAGAAAAAAAAAGGCCAGGCGAGGTGGCTTATGCTTGTAATCCCAGCACTTTGGGTGGCCAAGGTGGGTGGATCCCTTGAGATCAGGAGTTCAAGACCAGCCTGGCCAACAAGGTGAAACCCCATCTCTACTAAAAATACAAAACTTAATTGGGTGTGGTAGCACGTGCCTGTAATCCCAGCTACTCAGGAGGCTAAGGCAGGAAAATTGACTGCACCCAGAGGTGGAGGTTGCAGTGAGCTGAGGTCGCACCACTGCACTTTAGCCTGGCAACAGAGTTAGACTTTGTCGAAAAAAGAAAAAAGCTCAGCTAAAAGTCTTCATTTCTTCTTGCCCCCTGACAGAAGCAGAACTCTAAAGCCTTAATTCCTTGATTTGCCTCTTTACTCTGATAATAGTGAGGAACTAAAATGCAATGAGATGGAAAGTAGAGGAAAAGACTTCCATCCCTGCTAAAAACACATTCTGCTAAGAAAGCATTGCATTTCTCCAGAGACTAAAACCTCAGGCAGAGGAAAACATATCATTTTCTGACTTCTTAATCCCTTTTTTTTCTCTCTGTTCAGAGGGCCCAATAGACATAAACATGAGTGAAATTGGAATGGATTACATGCATGAACTCTTCTCCAAAGACCCAACCATCAAGCTCGGAGGTCACTGGAAGCCTTCTGATTGCATGCCTCGGTGGAAGGTAGGGTGTGAAGTCAGACCCACAATGCTGAGAAGCCCACCTGGGTTTTGCCTTTGGTCTGAATCACCGTGCAATTAGCTAACCATGACGTTTTGTCATTTTTATCCTACCGCCTCATGCAAAGTCTCTGCGTTGTGTGGAAACATTTTGCAGGAATGGGTTCCCACAAGGACTCTTTTGTAGACACAGAAATTTGCATTACTCTGATGACCAAGCAGGACCCTTAGGTCTTCCTGCCAGGAGTATTAACAAGGGGATGAGGGTGTTGGTGGTCTCTACTCACCCATTTGCAGAAGTCTTCTGCACAGAGTCAGTGCTTCGTGCCTGTTCCCCATTGGTTACTATAAGATTACTGGATTAAAAAGCAAAGTTATCTGGCTTGACACCGAGATTTCGTTTTTTTCTCCCTGACCGTAGAAGCTGTGTCCCCAGCTTAAATCCATTCTTTCAACAGATACCTATTAAAAGGCTTATTCTGTGCCAGCCTTGTTACGTGCTGGTGATGCAGCAGTCATCAAGGCGTTATCTGGAACAGATCAGTATCCAACCCACCGTGGGGATATAAAAACAATTTATTAACCAGCATTTGTACATTGCACGTTGTAAGGGAAAATACTGTTTTGTGAAGCTTGTTTTAATTGTAAGTTTATAGATGTATTTTTGTCACAGTGTAGAATGTGTTTTTTCCTATGAGTTATGGCCTAGAATGAATTGCAGGCCTACTATGTACTAGAAGATAGGGTATATATAAGAATAACATTCATCTCGGTCCAAGGGCTGACTTGCCAACATAGGTCTTTGTTTAGAGGAAGCTGAGGACAGGATAGCCAGCCTCCAAGAACTCCTGTGGGTTGGTCACCAGTTCTGCAGGGTGGTCCTGGTAAGGAATGAAAGTTGAGTCCTAACTGCGCTGCTTTTGCTGTGATGCACTCCAGGTGGCGATCCTCATCCCCTTTCGGAACCACCACGGGCACCTCCCAGTCCTGATCAGACACCTGATTCCCATGCTTCAGCGCCAGCACCTGCAGTTTGCATTTTATGTGGTTGAACAAGTGAGTGGTCCTTTCTTTTCCTTTCTTCTTTCTCTTCCGAGACAGCAGTTTAGGATGCTGCAGGTTATCCACTGTTGGTGTGAAGAGCCAACAGAACTGAAATCTTAAGATTAAGTTGCCTGAGGTGGGAAGGGGAGCAGAGAACAATTCTGTGCTCCTGGTTTGAGATGTTTATTGCCCAGTACTGGGCACACTTGAATCCAGGAGAGAATTTTGTTTGCACATGAACAAAGGCCTCTTGTACGGTGGTTTTGCTGGTGCCTGCAGGCCCCACACCCAGGAAGTTCCCCTTAAGATGAAGAGTTGCAGCAAGATCCAGCACAGAGGATGTGGCCTTGGAGTCAAGAGACTGTAGTGCTTGTCCTCTGTCTGCTGTTAATTAACCAAGTGGCCAGGGACATTTGCAGCCTTCTCTGAGCCTCTCAGGGTTTGGTTTTGTTTTAATCTTAAAAATATTGGTAGTGGGCTGATTGCAGTGGCTCGCGCCTATAATCCCAGCACTTTAGGAGGCCACAGCAGGCTAATGACAAGGTCAAGAGATCAAGACCATCCTGGCTGAGAAAGTAAAACCCTGTTTCTACTAAAAATGCAAAGATTAGCTGGGTGTGGTGGTGCACACCTGTACTCCCAGCTTTTCAGGAGGCTGAGGCAAGAGAATCGCTTGAACCTGGGAGGTGGAGGTTGCAGTGAGCTGAGATTGCACCTTTGCACTCCAGCCTGGCAACAGAGTGAGACTCCGTCTCAAAAAGAAAAAAAAAATAAAAATAAAAAAATATATGTACTGAAGCAGATATAGAGGTCATAAACTGAACAAGACGCAGGTGGAAAATTCAGTCTGTAAATCTTTTTTTATCTGGTCCTGCATATTTTTTATTTGGCTTTAGATGGAACACAACTGTCCTACTGTGGTTTTCTCTGCGTGGCCTCGTTTACATGCTCACATTACTGATGTGGCTTCTGTAGGCGTTGTGAAGTATGTGATCCTTGAACTAGTGGCGCTGTATCCATAGATAAACGAAGGTTGACAGATTTTCCTGAATCTTTTGATTCTTTTGAGTCTTTTGGTCTTAAGTGGTCAGCCTGGAGCTTGCCTTATACGGGAATGCGGATAAAGGGCTGAGCAGCACTGCTGAGCAAGGCCCGGCATCTGGGAAATGTTAACAGTCTATCTGCCTGTCCTAAGTTGGGTATTTTGATACTGGCAAGCGTGAGTCAATGTAGCATTTACACTAGTTAGGCTGTTAACTGATTCGAACTGGTCTCTTCATGAGCCTGAATTCTTTGTCTCTATAGGCTTGAGTCCCTGGCATGCTCAGTGACTGTTGTCTTAGATTTTAAAAATAAAACAAGACAAAACCAAAAACCACTCTTTGTAGTAGATTTGGTTTATGAACAGCTACAGATTGGTTGATTATGCTGAAGAGAATGATTGGCAAGCAGTAAAAAGTAGAAATGGGAATATTCTCTCTTACCTTTGTGGAGTGTGGTACTCTTCTAAATTGAATTTCTATCTTCAGTAGCCTTGAGAGAGAAAAGCTTGGGTTTGCTATCATTTATATTTTTAAGGAAAATGGGGCCCAGAGGTCCAGTGACTTTTTCTTTTTTTCTTTTCTTTTTTTTTTTTTAAACCTTCTGTTGCCCCAGCTGGAGTGCAGTGGTGTGATCTTGGCTCACTGCAGCCTTGGCCTCCTGGGTTCAAGCAATTCTCCTGCCTCAGCCTCGCTAGTAACTGGGATTATGGGCATCTGCCACCACGCCCAGCTAATGTTTTTGTATTTTCAGTAGAGATGGGGTTTCACCATGTTAGCCAGACTAGTCTCAAACTCCTGATTCACCCGCCTCAGCCTCCCAAAATGCTGGGATTATAGGTGTGAGCTACTGCACCACCAGAGGTCCAGTGACCTCTGGGCCATACTGTGAGTGGGTTGATGTGTGATGCTGGACCTGGTTATACTAGCCCAGTGATCTTTTCCAGTTGGTTCTAATCAACTCTTCTTTAGGTACAGCAGAGGCAGTAAAGATTTTGCTTCAAGATTATTTTTAAAATAAAGTTCTGTTTCTTTTAGGTTGGTACGCAGCCCTTTAATCGAGGCATGCTTTTCAACGTTGGCTTTTGAGAAGCCATGAAGGACTTGGATTGGGACTGTTTAATTTTTCATGATGTAGATCACATACCAGAAAGTGATCGCAACTATTATGGATGTGGACAGATGCCAAGGCATTTTTCAGCCACATTGGATAAGTATATTTATGTCTGTAAGTATCTTTTCCTCTTAATTAAAGAGGTTAAATCTGAAAGGATGATGAGCGATGTGAAGAAAAGGGAATCTAATTAGCTACAGCCTAGATGTGCATTAACTGATGGTTGGATAAGCAAAGTGTGTATATCCATATAATTGGAACACTATTTGGCAATAGAAAGGAATGAAGTACTGATATGTGCCAAAACATGGATGAACTTGGAAAACATTAAGAAGCTAGACACAAAAGGTCATGTATCACATGATTCCAATTACCTGAAATGTCCAGAATACGCAAATCTATAGAGACAGAAAGTCTCTAAATGGTAACAAGGGGCTAAAGAGCATAGGGGGATTAGGGAGTGATTGCGAATGGGTGCAAGGCTTTGCAGGGGGCAGTGATGAAACATGTTAAAATAGATTGTGGTCCTGGTTGCACAGTTCAGTGAATAAACTAAAACCATTGAATGATATACTCTAAATGGGTGAATTGTGTATGGGTGTGTGAACACTATCTCACTCAAGCTATTAACAAATCAGTAAGCAAAAATTCATTTTGCTACTTTGATTGATGCATGTCAGCATGAGGAAGCAAGTTCATATAGTTCAGGTCAGGAGCACAGAGAGCACTGTTTTTAGTCCTCAAATGAATAACGTTCTAGGGAAAACAATTACCCTGTAACACACAGACGATTGATGTCCCACATCTCCTCCTAGGCTTCCTTATACTGAGTTCTTTGGCAGAGTGAGTGGCTTAACAGTGGAACAGTTTCGGAAGATCAACGGCTTTCCTAATGCTTTCTGGGGATGGGGTGGAGAAGATGACGACCTCTGGAACAGGTACCACTGCGCTGTTTTTGGGATCTTCTAGAAATGCTACCTTAGACTGCAGACCGATGCTATCGGATGTGAATATGATGCAAACCACGTGTGTAATTTAAAATGTTCTAGTAGCTATAGTTTAAAAAGTTAAGGAAAAAAAAATGAAATTGACCAGATGTAGTGGCTCACACTTGTAATCCCAGCACTTTGGGAGGCTGAGGTGGGAGGATCATTTGGGCCTAGGAGTTTGAGGCCACAGTGAGCTATGATTATGCCACTGCACTCCAGCTTGGGTGACAGATTGAGACCTGTCGTAAAAAGTACACACACACACACACACACACAAATTACAAGTTTTTTTTAAAAAATCTTAATTTAAAAATATCTTAATACCTTAAAAAACAAACTGTATATCCCACCAAAGCAGCTATTTTGTTTTATCTCCCTTGACATGGAAAAATAAACCTAAAATATAATTTAGCAGTTGTTTCTTATAATAAAGAATATGCTCATTGTAAAATACAGATCAGTATAGAAATAGAATAAAACCCTCAACAAGAAGTAAATGTTACCATTGCATTGAGTTTATTTTGTGTTTAAAAAGTGTCAGGTGAACAGTAATTTTAAATCTCTGTGCATCAGTTTTTAAAATCCCAAATCTCAGGATTATGAGGATCAAATGATGTAATGTGTATGGAGCTCTGGCGCATCTGACATGGGATAAGCTCTCAATAGATGCTTTAATTACATCAGTATTAAATACTCTGTAAACAGGATCTTAAATGGCTCCATTTAATTCCATTATATAGATGCACTGTAATTTATGTAACTATTTCCTGTTGTGTATTTAGAATCTTTTCCATTTCTCACTAGTTAGACTGTAATACAGTATTCTTTTGCTAAATTCCTGCAGGCGAATGTAGTCATTAAGGCTCTTTTTTTTAAGTTTTGTCCTTTAATGGATGCCAATAGGGTTCTTAAAGAATATTATAACTAAGCGGCCCTCCTGCCATAAGGTTCTAACAAAACTTTCCACTTTACAAACATTCTGTGTACAAAATGCCCACTTCATTGGAACCACTCCAAACTGAAGAGTAGAATATTAGTGATATGTCTACAAAGATGTAGCTGTGCCATCACATAAGGCTTGTATTGTACAAATTTGTGTGAACAATCCTGTGTGTGAGAGGAATAAAGTAATACTTTTATGGAGTAAGTAACTAGTAACCTAATAAGGAACAAAGGCAAAAGAACTTCCACCTGCTTTCTGTTTACTTTGTAGCTTGGTTTTTGAAAAGTATGTGTTTGTTGTTAATTACAAATAATACTTTGCTGATAAAAAGTCAAATGATAGACTGGGTACCATGGCTCACACCTGTAATCCCAGCTCTTTGCAAGGTGGAGGCTTGCGGATCACTTGAGCCCAGGAATTCAAAACCAGCCTGGGCAACAGTGAGACCTTGTCTCTACAAAAAATAAAATAAACTAGCCAGTTGTGGTGGCACATGCCTGTAGTCCCAGCTACTCAGGAGGCCGAGTTGGGATGGGAGGATTACTTGAGCCTGGGAGGTCGAGGCTCCACTGCACCGTGATGGCCCTACTGCACTCCAGCCTGGGCAACACGCAATGGACCCTGTCTCTTAAAAAAAAAAAATTCAGATGATACAAGTGTCTAAGTGTTAATCCCCAATTTGATTCTATTTTATTTCCAAGAAGTAGCCATTTCTTTCTGTACTTTTTTCCTTTTCCTTTTCCTTTTGTTTTTTTTTTGTTTTTTTTTGAGATGGATTTTCTTTTTGTCGCCCAGGCTCAGTCTTGTGGTGGCAAAATCTTGACTCACTGCAACCTTCGCCTCCCGGGTTCCAGTGATTCTCCTGTCTCAGCCTCCTGAGTAGCTGTGCCACCACGCCCGGCTAATTGTAATTTTAGTAGAGATGGGGTTTCACCATGTTGGCTAGGCTAATCTCTAACTCCTGACCTCAAGTGATCCACCCGCCTCAGCCTCCCAAAGTGCTGGGATGACAGGCATGAGCCACTGAGCCCAGCCTGTTTTTTCTGTTCACATGAAAACTTTAATTCAGTTAAATTTGAGTTTTACTCAGTTTGTTTTCTTTTTCTTTTGTCTCCCTCCCCTTAACTTCAAATGACACAGTGAGTCATTTGAGTGAGCGAGAAAGCTTTTGCTGTGGTGATTTCCAGGGTAAGCTTGTAACATGGCTTGTAGGCTTTGGTCACTCCTGGACTATTATTACCGTTCTATCTAAAAGCCCGTTGTCTTGGTCTTGGACAGAGTCCAGAATGCAGGCTATTCCGTGAGCCGGCCAGAGGGTGACACAGAAAAAGTACAGGTCCATTCCTTATCACCATCGAGGAGAAGTCCAGTTTCTTGGAAGGTTGGTGCAATTTATTTATGTCTCTTGAAAATATCCCCTATACTTTCATGTCCAGAAGTCATAGAGCATATTAGAACCCCTCCTCCTCTTCTCCTCTCCAAGGCCCTGTTCTGACAGCTGTTTGACAGTTCTTGCATGTATTTTAACTCTGAGGCAGACCAGTAGGGGGATCAGACCATTGGTGAAAATGTCAATAGTAGGATTATTTTAAGGAAATCACTCATTCTATGTCTTCAGCATTGTGGTCTCCTCAGGAGCCTTTGGAGAGTTTGAGAAGAAACATCTTGGATGAAAGTCCCTGAGGTGACAGAGCAGCTGGCCCCTTTCTGCAGGCTCCCATTCTGAACGGGTGTTCTGAGCTTCTGTCTGTGTGGTTGCAGTTGCTGTGTTAACTTTTTTTTTTTTTTTTTTGGTCTTTTGTAAATTGTGGGAAAGACTGTGTTCCAGACAACCAATTCTAATTGCTGAAATTCTGTTTTCGTGGGAGTAAAATGGCACTGAATACAGAGTATGAACTTTCTCAAATGTTGTATTTTTAATCTTTTCCCTTCCACTTCCCCACTCTCTGACCTTGGCCACGTTACCTAACATGACTAAGCCTTTCCTCATTTGCTAGCAGGGGTTGGGTGGGCATTAAATGAAGTGTTTCATGCCACCTCCTAGCATGAAACACAGGAGGTGATTCTAATAACTGCACTCAGCCTGGCATAGCAGAGTGGCCGTGCGCCCGCCTCATGCTACGGAAGTGCTACTGTTGGCTGCATCGTCTGACTGCAGAGGTGTGGACCCTCACTCAGAGCCATCTCTTCTCTGTTCTGTCCCTAAACAGGTAGGCTCTGCTAAGGAAGTCAAAAGAACAGCAAGGGCTGGATGGCCTCAACAACCTGAACTACTTTGCAAACATCACATATGACGCCTTGTATAAAAACGTAACTGTCAACCTGACACCCGAACTGGTCTGCAGAAATCTGGAAAATGCCAGTTTTCCTCGTCCTCCCCTTTCTTTTCCATACAACATATTTATATATTGTGATGAGGAGTACTTTCTGAAGAGTACTTCGTATTTTTTTAATTGCCTTGTTTGCCTTCAACGTCCTGGATTGTCGTGGTTTCCATGGGTGTGTGTAGGGGTGTGTGTGTGTGTGTGTGTGTGTACGTGTGGGTTAGGGCTTCTGTGCTGCATGTGATGGTTCTGTGGACATATGATCCCCGCAAACTGTGTGAGTGATCATATGTTTTTATGTTTGTTTTCTTTTGAAGAATAGAGTGGTATTTAGAAAATAAATTCCATATCAAAGCTCTTATCGGCTCGTATGAGAGAGCAGGCTCCTGCCCTTGAAAATGCTGGTAAGCTATAGCATATGTTTTTTAAAACTTTTAAGCATTTCATGCTTTAAAATACCTTCACAAGGGAGCATTACACACAGAGGTTCATTTGGTTTACCTTTGTTTTAGGGTGCATAGAGCAATAAAGGACCCCCAACCCCATTTTGCCCTCCGCCATGCAACCCCACCCCCACCGGGCCTTTGTCCTTGCCTCAGCTTTTCTCCCCTTCTCATTCTCCTCCCCCTTTTCCTCACTGAAGGCTGTGAATGGCTTTCATTGTGACAACACTGTGATGTCATTTGGAAGGATTTGCCAGTAGAGACTGATTCTGAGTTACAGGTGGCAGTGTTGTTTGAAGCTCTACATTACTGTAATTACCACCAAGTACACACTGTTGGCAAAAGACTAACACCTGAGTTTTAAAATGCTGATTTGAGAACAAAAGGAAAGGTCTCTTCTCAGTGCTTAAGGTGGGGTCACATCGATACCCCTGTGGTCACAAGTCTGTCTGATGAGTGTGGAATCTCTGAATGTAACAGTCATGGGTCCCCCGGGTCTTGAATATTATATGGGAAATGTAGTTAAAAATGTACAGCCAGGCCCGTGTGCTGTTAATAGTGTGGAATTGTCATGTTAAAAAAAAACAGGAACCAAATGTGACCTTGTGTATATGCTGACAGCTGAAATTCTTTATGGCTACTGATGGGTGGCCCCTTAAATTAATCTTGTCTTTGATTGCTGTGTGCAGGGAAAGGTGTCCCTGTTCATGCTGTTTTCAGGGGAAAGCGGGTACTTGCAAGAATACTCATTTTGACATAATAGGTCCTCTTGTCTGAGATCCTCTACCACAGACATTAATAGCTGAGCAGCAGCCACATGGATTGATTGTATCCACCACCGTTGACAATAGCATTGAGCATAGCTAGCTTATTTCCATCACTACGTGTTTTTGAACTTGCTCTTATGTTTTAAGAGGTGCCAGGGGTACATTTCTGCACTGAAATCTAAAGATGTTTTAAAAAACACTTTTCACAAAAAATAGTCCTTTGTCATTACATTTTTTACTCATGTGTTTGTACATTTTTGTATGTTAATTTATGAATGATTTTTTCAGTAAAAAATACATATTCAAGAACCAAACCTTGGTGGTGGTTTCTCTTTGTCTAGGACAGGTGGGCTCCTTTGGTGGGGTCTTTCCTCTTTCCTTTCCTACAGGAGTTCAACTTCAGGCAGCTCAGCTGAGCTCTGGGTCTTGCTGGGGTAAATAGTGCCTGACCCATGTTGCAGGTGGGTGGGCTGAGTGAAGAGCTACATGGTGTAACAGAAGCACTGCTCCCACATCGCTGCCAGGGAACGCCCACACAGGTTTTCTTTCAGGAATCCCCAGGTGGTACCGATAATGTTGAATAAGACACTTGGGTAAGGGGACTTGGGGGTGAAGGGGATGGTGAGGGTTGATGGAGTTTGATTCCAGAAGGTTCTCTGGGGTCAGTCTAGGGTTTATCTGCCTGATTCTGCTCAGAGATTGTTATCATGACTTCAATGTGTTGAATGTTTGCCACTCACAGTATTAATAGTGTCAGATGCTGGGGACACAGTAAAAGAGAAAATAAGGATCCATGGCCTCGTTAAGCTTATGGTTCACTGGCAGTTATGACTAAAATTGTATCCTCAATACTTCCTCCAGAAGAGGAAGCTGTGGGTGATGAGTGCATGGTAGGGTGGGCATCTGGTGGGAATGTAGGGAAGGTGGGAGCGGGTGAGCTAGGGGAGACAAGGAATATGGATGCACAACTGCAGGGCAGGGAGGAAGCCAGTATGGCTGGAGTGTAGGGCAGGGGGTGCACAGGGACGGCCAGGCTGGGGAGATGGGCCTGGGCCTTGCAGTGCAGGGCTTTGCAGGCCAGGGTGAGGAGTTTGTATTTCATCCTTAGAGCCATGGATTGGAGAGTTTTCAGCAGGTGGGGCTGTGTGATGTGATTCTGATTCCATAGCAACTGTAAGAGACATCTCTGGCTGCAGGGAGAATGGGTGATGATACAGAAGCAGGGGCGAGTGAGGTGGGTGCAGGGACGATGGACGAGGGGAGACTGGGAGATGCTGAGGTCATGTCACCAGTTTGGCTGGTGTCTAAATTTTTTATTTTTTTGAGATGGAGTCTCACTCTGTCACCCGAGCTGGAGTGCAGTGGGGTGCAATTGTAACTCACCTCAGCCTCAACCTCCTGGGCTCATGCAATCCTCCCGCCTCAGCCTCCTAAGTAGCTGGGACTACAGGTCCACGCCACCATGCTCAGATAATTTTTATAATTTTTATAAAGATGGGGTCTTGCCATGTTGCCTAGACTGGTCTTAAACTCCTGGGCTCCAGCTGTCTTCTTGCCTTGGCCTCCCAAAGTGCTGGGATTCCAGGTCTGAGCCACCATGTCCAGCCATTGGCTGACGTCCAGATCTATACCTGTATACCTAACTGCATGCTTAGGAAAACAAAGGCATAGTTTAACAACCATGAGTTGTCCTACAATTCCTTTTGTTTTTTTTTCTTAATGTTTCTGGAGACCTCTTTTCCGTGATTGAAGAATTTTTTCAAATAAAGCTCAGATGTTACTTCCTTGGAGAAGCTTTGATGAGCACCCCTGCTTTTCTGATTGTGGGTCTTGAGAACCCTCATTTCGGAAAGGTCCCGCCCAATATCCTGAAGGAAGGAATGCAGCACAGAGAAGTGGAGAAGACTCTGAACAGACAGCTTCACGGGTTCTGCACTCAGCCTGTTAGTGTTAGACCATCCCCTTTTCATTCAGTCACATTTCTACACTCAGTCATACCTACCCAACGAAGTCCCCATCAGAGGGTCAAGAGGGCCAGGCCCGGTGGCTCATTCCCCTTATCCCAACATTTTGGGAGGCTGAGGTGGGTGGATCACTTAAGGTCAGGAGTTCAAGACCAGCCTGACCAACATAGGGAAACCCTTTCTTGACTAAAAATACAAAAATTAGCTGCATGTGGTGGCACAGGCTGGTAATCTCAGCTCACTCAGGAGGCTGAGGCAGGAACCACCTGAACTCTTGAGGCGGAGGTTGCAGTGAGCCAAGTGCAATGCACTCCAGCCTCGGTGACAGTGAGATCCTGTCTCAAAAACAAAAAAGCTCAGAGAGCTTCCAGATAGCTGAACACATGGAGGTTTATAGGAAGGTGAACAAGAACTCATCCATGTTCTGGGAGGGTGGTGTGCCCCAACCCTATGGGGACAGGCTCAGGACCCTTCCAGACCTTGCCATGTGTGTCTCATTTGGGCTTTTACCTGTATCCTTTAAAAGAGCCTTTGTCTTAAACTGGTAGACGTCAATAAGTTTCCCTGAGTTCTGTGAGCCGCTCTAGCAAATTAATTAAACCCAAACAGCAGGTCGTGGGAACCCCAATTTGAAGCTGGTCTATCAGAGGTTCTGGAGGCCTGGACTTGTGACTGGTGAGAAGGGACAGTCTTGGGGACTGAGCCCTCAATTCATGTGACCTGAGGCTAATGGAAGTAAACTTACCAATGGAATACTAATGGAAGTAAACTCCTTACCAATCTCAGAAGGGCCGTGCAAGTCAATGAGTCACTTGCAGATTCTCATCTGCAAAAAATCCAGTGTCTTAAATCTTTTACCACTGTCTGGGCGCAGTGGCTCAAGCCTGTAATCCCAGCACTTTGGGAGGCTGAAGCAGGCAGATCACCTGAGGTCAGGACTTTGAGAGCAGCCTGACCAACATGGTAAAACCCCATCTCTATTAAAGATACAAAAAATTAGCCAGGCTTGGTGGCACACGCCTGTAATCCCAGGACTTTGGAAGGCCGAGGTGGGCAGATCACCTGAGGTCAGGAGTTTGAGCCCAGGCTGACCAACATGGTGAAACCTGGTCTCTACTAAAAATATAAAAAATAGCCAGGAATGGTGGTGTGCGACTGTAGTCCCAGCAACTCAGGAAGCTGAGAAAGGAGAATTGCTTGAACCCGGGAGGCAGAGGTACAGTGAGCAGAGATTGAGTCATTGCACTCCAGCCTGGACAACAGAGTGAGACTCTGTCACTTGAGCTTGGGTGACAAGAGTCTGTCTCAAAAAAAAAAAACAACTTTTACCACAAGGAGTTTTTCTTACAGTGATTCTCAACGTCTTGGTAGGCATTTGAACTGGTCCTTTCTCTTTGAGATTCTTCTTTGCTCCTCTGATCAAGTCAGCACACACTTTCTCCAGGGATTTTACATTGGGGCTTGTTAGAGTGATTCTGATTTGGTGAATTGCCACCTCTGGCTCCATGGATGTGTTTCCCTATCTTTAAAATTTGTGGCTGCTGGGCACGGTGGCTCACGCCTGTAACCCAGCACTTGGGGAGGCCGAGATGGGCAGATCACATGAGGTCGAAAGTTGCAGACTAGCTGGTCTGTACTAAAAATACAAAATTAGCCGGGTGTGGTAGCGCGCATCTGTCATCCCAGCTACTTGGGAGGCTGAGGCGGGAGAATCGCTTGAACCCGGGAGGCGGAGGTTGCCGTGAGCAGAGATTTGAGTCATTGCACTCCAGCCTGGACAGCAGAGTGAGAGTCTGTCTCAAAAAAAAAAAAAAGAAAAGAAAAAAAAAATCCGTGGCTGCTGAGCGGCTTCCTGGCGGACTTGTTCCTGTGGGAGAGTGGACTGTGGTGAGTGAGGAGCAGGAGTGGGCGGACCACAGCCTGCACCGACTAACGACTGCGTCTTCCTCCAAGAGCTTTCTTTGTATTTTCTTGCCATTGCCCTGATCAGGTAACATTTTATTTATTTATTTATTTGTTTGTTTGTTTGTTTAGACAGAGTTTCCCTCTTGTAGCTGGGATTACAGGCATGCACCACCACACCCAGCTAATTTTTAAATTTTTAGTAGAGACAGGGTTTCACCATGTTGGCCAGGCTTGTCTTAAACTCCTGACCTCAGTTGATCCACCTGCCTTGGCCTCCCAAAATGCTGGGATTACAGGCGTGAGCCACCTCTCCCGGCCTGGTTTTGGTCTTTTAACCAACCCTGCAATCCCTGCTCCATAATGCCACCTTGCCAAGCTTCCTGAGCTGCTGTCTTTACTGCTAGAGGCTAGGGCAGTCAGAATAGTGTCCCCCAGAGAGTTGTGTTCAACTTCCCAGGACCTGCAAATATGTTACCTTTCATGGCAAAGGGGCATCAAGGTTGTAGATGGAATCGATGTTGCTGTGGAATAACAAGAAAGAGATTTTGTCGTTTTTCCTAGTTTCTGGTACAAAGCTCTAAAATCTTTGGAATTTTGAGTGATGGAGTGTTAAGAGCGTCTTTTGTTCTAAGGAAGCAACTCTTCGGTGCTTAACTTCAGTGTAGGAGATGGCTGCCAGAAAGACTAAGCTTGATTAGATCAGCATTTCCTGCACCCCCGTCCCAACTTCCAGGGAAGGGAGAGTGGCTGTGATCACCAGTGGCCACACTCAAATCTATGGACTGAAGCCTCCATAGAAACCCCTAAATGGTGGGGTTCAGGGAGCTTCCAAGTTGGCGAACACATCCGCATCTCAGAGGGTAGTGCACCCATCTTGACTGAGCTTCTGCATTGGGACTTACCGTATCCTGGGTACTTCTTCATCTAATTGTTCATTTGTACCCTTTATAACGAACTAAGAGTAAGCACAGCTTTTTCTGAGTTCTGTGAGTCATTCTAGCAAATTATTCAACTTTGGGGTAATGAGGTAGTTGAAACCTCTTTGTAGGAAACTTTGCTTTGTAAGTCAGTCAGCAGAAGTTAGGCTATACAATATACGATATGACCTCAGCTACAAACCTGCCCAGGATGTGGCTGGACTGAATACTGCAGGCTGTTGTAACACAATGGTAAGTACTGTTGTATCTAAAGAGAAAGGTGCAGTAAAAATACAGTATAAAAGAGAAGCCAGACACGATGGTTCACGCCTGTAATCCTAGCACTTTGGGAGGCCGAGGTGGGAAGATCACCTGAAGTCAGGAGTTACAGACCAGCCTGGCCAACATGGCGAAACCCAACTCTACTGAAAATACAAAAATAAGCCGGGCATGGTGGCACAGACCTGTAATCCCAGCTACTAGGAAAGGGTAGGAGAATCGCTTGAACCTGGGAGGCAGAGGTTGCAG